TATATGGAAACCGAGTAGAACATACATTCAACATCAGATTTCATCTGCACCAATTATTACTACCACGAACCCAGATTACACATTACTAATGTTAATAGATAGGCAATATACCTTATGGCTTAATAGATTTACACACTTAAATCAAATATCCCCTACTATTCAACCCATAGACTAGAGGTCTCTTAACCATTCTAGCTAAGAATAGGTTGAGGGTAAAGTAGCCCTAACTCCTATTCCCTTAGTTTAATGTATCAATTTGTACTAGTTGTACTTAATTATATATTACTAAATAAAGGACTAGAGGAAAGACCTCTCTTAAAAAAAAAAAAAAAAAGAAATATATAAACTAAAGAAGTGGATCGATAAGAACTGGTATAAGAAATTAAATAGAAAAATAGAAGGAAAAGAATAGGAAGATATATTCAGAGAGCTCAAAGTAAATACAGTCTCAAAAATATTAGCATAAGCTACATATTAATAAAATGAGCAAAAAAAAATCATAGAAAATCTTTAGAACATTTATGAATCTAATTATAAAAAAAAAGATATATCAAAAAAGTGAAAAATAGCACAAATATATTTAATTCTAAAAGACACAAATTGGAGATATTGTTTAAACAACATTAGACCAATAGCATTAATTGAAATCTTTAAAAAAGTTGTCACAAAAATAGTAACTTAAGATTAGCCAAAGTGTTTACAGAAAAAAACAAACTCAAGGATCCAAATTTTGTGAGTCTTTTAAACAACTCTACAGAGCAACCTATACATATACTGAACATGATAATAAAGAAGGCACAAGAGAAGAATAAAGAAGTTTGGAAACTATTACAAGACATGAAAAAGGCATTCAACTTAGTCCTACTAGAAAGCCTAGAATAGGCATTAAAAAAGTTAAAATATCACAAAGAACAAGAGAATATATAAGCAACATCTTCTGTAAATAAAAACTCAAAGTTATTACAATATATGGCTTAACAGCATGGTTAAAAATTCATTTATTGGTTGATTAAATTTAAAGCTGCATGTAATTTTCAAATCATATAACTTACTTATTAACTAATTAAAATTAATATTAACTTGCTAAATTCAGATGATCACATCTGATTAATTAGAGTTATAATAATTAGTTAATAGGGTTTTTAGATTTTACGATCTAAATTTTAGCATCATCCATAACATTAAATAAAAATTTTAACATTAACTTTTATAACCTATATAGAAAATATTTTGATATATTAAATTCATTTAATCAACTTATAAATTTTACTATATTAAGCTTTAACTGTATATTAAAATAAATTTATTAATATTAAAAATTTTCAAAGTTACAAACATTATAAAATGTTTATTTTTTTATTATATATAGAAAATTACATTAACTAATTTTCAAATTTTTAGCAACAATTAGTACAAAATTAAAGAATATTTGTAATATTACATAATAAATTATGAGAAGTATAAGAAAACTTATTTTTATCAGACAAGTTAATTGATTCAAAATGTGAAGAATTTTCTACAAATGCTAAAATAATATAATAGTATTTAATTAACTATATTATATTTAGATTAATAAAACTTGATTTGTATACCTGCTATTCTTTTATTTAATTGATTATTTTCAATTTTTGAATTTAATATTTCAGCTTTATTCAAATCACAATCTTCTAGTAATAAAATATTACTATTATCTATATTTGATTTATTTTTTTTTTATTCTCTTTTGTTAAACATAATCATTGATTATATAAATATGCTAAATCATCAATTGCTTTAGATAGATATAAAAAACAATGTTTACATCATAAACCTTGTAGTTGAAAGCACTTTTTATGATAAGCATGTCCACATATTAACATATTAATTTGATTATCTGCTATTTCAAAACAATTAATATGATCACAAAAATTATGCTAACTTGGTATAATTTGCGAATGATATCTTAATGATAAAGCACCTAATGAGAATCTATATTTGATATATGGAAAGTAACAATAAACTTTTTTAACAATTTTTTCTTCATCTTTTTTTTCTATCTTGCCTTGATATTTCCAAACATTTTCAAAAAAATCCAAAAGAAAGATTGCTATAACATTAACTAATTTATCAAGATCTTTTTTTGTATATGAATAATTATGTTTAAGTATAAATAACTTAATAAAATTATTATTTTGTTGAAGATTATCTATAAACTAAGCATTACGTCTAAGTAATTTTGCTGTATTAACTTTAGCATTTGTGTGTCATCGAAGCAAGCTATGAAAATTTTTAACTAGATATTCATCAAATATATTCAAATAATTTTTTAAAGTATCTATTATAGAATGTCCAGTTATCTTTTAGTAATAAATGTCTGAAATAAATACAAGTAAAATCTTATCATAGTTATGCTGATTAAATCTTTTTATAACACTTCATAGTCTAAATACAGTGCTAACATATTCATCAAAATAATTGCCTCAAAACAAAATAGTATATATGTCAAGTATCACTGGTACTAAATTGTCTAATAAATCAAAAAATGTTCTATATTCTATATCTTTTGAGAACCCAAATCTTACTACTACATATTCTTTAACTATTTGGCAGCCTGCATATGCTAGATAAAGTAAAAGATTAATTCACCAAAATCATGGCTTAGCAGCAAGTTTTTGTTTTTTACTAAATAAGTTCAGTATAAAAGATTAAAAAAACTCTAAAATACTAAAAAAACTAATTCATGTGTATTTAATGATAGGTGAAGTGCACCAAGAAATGAAACCAGATAAGTAATTTCTTTTGAAATCTTTAAGTTGTTTAATACTAATCTTTGAATGATAGCTTTTCTAATATTTAGTTGTCCAGAAAAGTTCACTGAAACAAGAATTATAGAATTACTTAAATATTTCTGTATTTCAAATAATCTTTTAAAATATATATTGTTAATTTTTAAATATATTATTACAATAATTTTACAAAATTAATTAAATTTATGAATCTTATAAATATTTTAATAGCATCAATATAATTTTCTATGTTTTTTAAATCCAATTTTATTAAGTTAATAAGTTTTGTTTGATTAAATTGACATCCATAACTTTTAAAAATATCAGCATCATAAGAATGTACTACTAGTAATTTGATAAATTCAGATTCATTTGCATATATTATATCATGAATCTACTTCTAATTAATTTTTTCAAAATTATAACTGTTGGCAAATGAAATTATATATTGTTCCAAAGAATAGTTTTAAGAAGAACAGAGTCTACACTATTAAAATTGTGAACTGAAAATCTATATTTAGAATAAAAAAGAATCAGTAATGCTTTTGCTATATTAAACAATATAGTTACCATATGTGCTATTTGAGATATTGATATTGCACTAGGTATTTGTATCCTATAAAAATTATAGTAATTATCGATACAGCAAACTATAAGATTATTTGACTATAATTTAGTAGTAATTTATTAGATATTACTATTACAATAATTTTAAATTTAAATTTTAAATTTAAATTTTACTTACACAATTTCTAATATATTTTTAAACATTCACTTTATGGAATTTAACAATCTTCTCAAGCTTATTATAAACTGTTTAGTAAGTTGTACATATTCCTATATTAGCCATAGTATTTATACAATATGCTGATGCTCCTGACTATAATATGAATATTCTGATTTCAGTTTTTTACATTACTTATTTGTTTGTTTTGTAATCCAGCTATCTGATAACAAAGTAACATAACTTTTTTGTACAGCAACTCTTTAGTTTGTTGGTTTTTTTCTTCAGAATTCATAACTAAAAAGAATGCATTAAACAGTCCCTTTAATTTTGATTCACGGGTATGATGACTTAGTGAAGTGAATAAATTGTCAACCTTCCAAGTAGTAGGTTGGAAGTTTAAAACTCACTGATGGTGAAAATTTGGAAAACCACCTATATTACATTGGTGTATACGGATATCTGTGCAATGTTTGAGTTATACAGAAGAATGCAAACTGGCATTGGGTAGTGCAAACACAAGATAAGTCCTTGAAACTGGTACTACAGCAACAGCTATCTATCAATCAGTTGGGATCAGTACCTGTAACATGGTCACACCAAATAACTGGCAGATTATGGGGCATCTGTGGCTATATAAATCTGTGAACTGGAATAACTGGAAGTCCACTTGGGAAGACCCGAGTAGAAAGGTAATACAGATCTTTGACAGTACTACTGTAAAGGCTAGATCTAGAAAATAGATACCAATGTGGAAGGAATTAGGCGGGCAAGAACCTCAGGTGAGGGGTACCACCAACCAGACTGCCAGAAGACTCAAACTGAAGGAAAAAGACCTTGAGAAGCAGACCCTGAGATACCAGGAACAGGTCACAGTTCTACTGGGCTATCTGGATTGGAAGTCTGTGGTCAGAAACAGGGATATACTAAAGTACTAGAGATATGCTATGAAGTCAGTGCTAGGGTCTGGGTGAACTCTGCAAGGGCAAGTCCTGTTAACACGATACTAAATGTGAGTAGTTAGTTAGCAGAGGGGCCTCCTGGAGCCTTACAGTTAGGTAACGTACTCTGAAATATGTAACGACTTAACAGATGTAAAAACAGGAAGGTTATGATTAGGTTAGATGGCACTTAGATGTATGGGAACTTGTGCACTATTTGTCGGTGTAAGTATAGGGATCAGAGTGTTTAAAATAGGTAATCTTCTAGTAGATTGCAGGTATAGCAGCTAGTGTAGAACTTGCTGTGCAGGCGGACTACTTAAATTAGACAACCAAAAGTTGTACATATGGCTAGTTGTATACTCACCTTGTACAAGTTATGTAATCATAATTAAAATACAATAAAGGCAATAGCCGCTAATAACTATGGCCTTAGCAAAAGCAAAAAAAAAAAAAAATATATTTAATTTACAATTCTCAATTATTTTAATAAATTCTTATATATCAAAAATAGGTGAATTTTTCTCATATTGATTATCATATAGTATTTTAGTAAGATAAAAGATCTGAATATTAAGAAGCTTTAAAAAATTTTCAGATACTATAAATATTTTATTTTTAAAAATTAAAATTTGTAATAACAATATTTTCTTAAATAAAATATTAAATATGACTAATTAAATTATTATCTATTGTTTTTGAACTTCTAAATTAATTATGTATTAATTTAATACTTTGAATATTATAATCATCTTTGGATATACTACTTTCTTTTGCTATTTGAAATAATTTTTTGAGTTTATTTTCTTCATTCATTAATTTACCTTTAACCTTCATCTTACTAATACTCTCAGTATTATTTTCGATTACATCATCAAGTGGTTTATCATTACTATTCTCCAAGGCTTTTTCAAAATTCATCCTTTCTTTCTTATTTGATTCAATTAATTTTTTCTTTCTTTCAACTTCAGTCATAGGTAAATCATTCATATTTATTATTTTGCCCTGCGATCATACTCTCAATCGATTATTAGCACCTCTTAGTTTATAAGATAAGTTGTTGCCTTTTTTTGATATCTTAGTTCTTTTTTTTTTTTTGTCGATCATATATGACATAGTTATTATAATAGAATTGATATAGCTAATCATTAATCTGAAGCTTATTAGTAACAGCTGAACTTTCTTTTACTTTAGCAAGTAAATGCTTAGTTAGTTTTCTAAACTTTTCTTCAGAATCTTGACAACTACATATAGCATAAGGTTTCTCATTCTGATATTAGTTTTCTCTTGACATTGTTACTAAGCAAATTCAAAACTAAAATAGGATCAAAAAAAACTATTTCAGAATCACTAAAGTAAACATTATAATGAACCTTTAACTAAAATCTTTGTTTGCTTTATTATGTAGTATCTCATAACTTAAATATATGGCTTTTTAGATATCTGATATATATTTAATTAATCATTCTAATTGATTTATATTATATACAACTCTAAATTTGATTGATCAATGAAAGAGATTTTTAACCATGCTTGGCTTAACAGAAGAGATAACAACAGAAAATGAAATAGATCAAGAAGAGGTGATCTTATTACTAATTTGGCATCTCTTCTATGATCCACTATTAGAAAGAATACAAAAAAATAAATTACTAGACTATATAGTAGAACAAGAAATAACAGAAAGAGTATGCAATAACAATATTACAAGATATAAACAAGTAGCAATCACATATGCAGATAATACAACATGGATTGCAAACAGCAAAGAGCAGATGCTAAGAATTTTGAGCATTGCAGAAGAGTTCTTCAAGGCAAATAACATTAAAATAAATAGATCCAAATCAAAACTTATAATAATAAATATAAGAATTAAAAAAGAAGAGAGAAAAATCATCTTTGGTTATAGCAAGATAATAGAAAAACCTAAAAACAAGATTGTAAAATCACTAGAGATCTGGCTAAATAGCAAAATAAGAGAAGTGCTATTATGTAAGAAAGCAAAAAGAATAGTTAGTTAAACAGTCAAAGATTTGAGATACAAAAAAATAACAATAGACCAGATTGCATATATAAACAATACAATAATAATTCCTAAACTAAGGTATCTCTTACAATTAACAAAGATATCAGAAAAGATGGTTGATAAAATATACTAATCATTAATATGCTTAGCCAAACACAAATATAATATAACAAAAATATCAAACAATTGCACAATTGAATACAAAGACTTAGGCAATTGCAAATTACTAAGCCAAGAAATAACAACTAAGCAAATTAGTAGTATCTTCTTAAGACTTAACAGACAAAATAGTCTAGATAAATTAACAAGACTTAGAATAGCTCAAAAATGCTAGAAAGCAGGCCTAACAAAAGACATCTGGTATATCAAAATAAACCAGAAGCTAAAAAGTTTTGGAAAAATAACCTAGCATATCAAACAATAGCTAAAACAAAAAAAATAGGAATAAACATCAAAGCAGCAAAATGGCTATAGAAAGTATATAGACATGATAGACAAATAAAGAACATACTAGAAGTAAAAACATGGATAGCAAGTAGTAGCACAATAAATGAATAGAGATTATTATATATGAATTAGCTAATAGATAAAAAAAGTGACAGCTTAATTATATAGAAACAACTCAAGAGCCTTCAAGGTCTATCATGTAAGAGAAAGAAAGCCAAATAGTTTAGCAAAATAGAAAGAAAGATGCTAAAAATGCAAGTAAGCAAAGAAATACAAGATCAATACAAAATAAACAGCTATAACACATAGGCATTAAAGATTAAGTAGACAAAAATGTTAGAAGACTGAAGAAGAAAAGAATAAATCATATATAGACCAAAACACAACTAGCAATTTAGCAAAGTAATTAAGAAAAAGCAGAAAAAAGTGTTAGCAGAATATTGGCTAATGTATAAAGAAGAAAGAAAAACATATACAGAAATAAGTTTATATAAAAGTTGTGAAAACAGATTAGAACAGACAACAGACAAGTGTAAAAGATAGATAAGACAAGACCAGAACATAAAAGTGGTTTCAGAATTACTAATAGAAGAAACAAATAACAAAATAAATATAACATTAGAGCAGTTATTAGAAAATAGAAGAATAAAAGAATAAAAAAAAAATGAAATGGAGCTATTGGAATTAAGACTAGCAAAAGAATTAAAAATAGAACTAATTAAGAAACAAAAGTTAAATGATATAATTACAAATCAGCTAACAGAAATCCTAATACAGAACAAGAGAAGGGACAAAAAAAAGTATATCAATTATATTGATAGAGCATTATATAAGAAGAGAAAATAAAACAATATAAAAAAGATAGGTATTGGCTGAGTACAAGTAGGTAATAAAGAAGACTGGCCAAAAGAGAAAACTGCATTTGGACTCAAAGGTTGGCCAGCAGCAATAATAGCAGAACTAGCAGCAATATTCACATCAATTTTAACAATTTCAGAAAAGAAAAATATAGAAATATATGCTGATAGCATTGCAGCATTAAGAAATATTAACAGAGCAATTCCAAATATAAAAGATGGAAGTACTATAAAGAGAAAAAATGTAATGTAGATAATGAATATTGTAGATTTTATCAAAAGCAAGAACATAAAGACAAATAGTTAAAGTTAAAAGTCATAGTGAAGATAAGTAGAATGATAGAGCAAACATTCTTGCAAAAAAAGAAGCAGCTTGTAGAAATTTAATACATATAGAAAAGATTATATATAATAGAATAAAGTACCATTTGAAGTAAAAAAATAAAAAAATCAATATATTAGCAAAACTTCTGTATAAAATAATAGCAAATACCAGAATTGGAGCCAGCTAAAGAGAAACAAATTCAATAAAAGCATTAGAGCCAAAAACAGAAAATGCATTACATAATTGGACAAGTTTTTGAAAAGAAATAAACAGAACAAGAGGAGTTTACTGTACATCAAGAAAACTTAATACAAGAAAAGCTATAGCAGTTAAGTGTATAATGAACAAACTGCCAATACTTGAAGAGTTAAACAGAAGAAGGCCAGAAGTATATACAACTGCAAAGGGCCAGGTATGCCAAGTTGAGAAAAAAGAAACACAGACACATTTAGCAAGTTGTAGTGAACAAAGAAGTTTGTAGAAACAGATTCAAAAAGTTGCAACAGCAGCAGCATAAAATAGGTTTAAAAAAGAAGAGAAGAAAAGAATCTTAACACAAGTTCTATATAAAATGCTATTTGGGAAATCAGAAACTAAAGAAACCAAAAACAGAAAAGTGCTAATAAAGAGACTTATGAAAGTAAAAGTAGAAAAGAAACTTGAATGACTCTTAAGTAAGCAGACAACACAGAAGTGCATAAATATAGTAACAAGAATAGTATGAAACACCTTTTATGACCAAGTATAAAGAGTCTGATATGAAAAAACACAAGATTAAGAAAAAAAGACTAATATAACAAACAAGATAAAAAAAGATATTCATATAAAAGAAAAAATAAATAAAGTAAAAAAGTAAAATCAACAAACAAGAAAAGAAGAAAAGAAAAAAAAATAGAAAAAGCAAACCAAATAAAGAAAAAAAACTTTAAAAACAATCAATATGCTTGTCACAGAAAGGAAGAGGCCTTTCTAGTATGGCTTTAAGTAGTTAAATGAGCAGTTTATCTCTAACTGAGATAGTGTGCAGGTTGCATTTAGATACCATAAAGGTGGCCAAGTGATGCTAGACTTAGGTATTGAGAAATTCTATATAATTGTATATGTATATAGTTTTAAGAATCTTAATAAAGTACTAGTGTAACTGCTTAAGATTAAAAAAAAAAAAATTATAAAAAATATTTTAAATAAATAATAAGATTTTTTAATTAATAAAACATAATTTTTTTTTGTATTTAGAAGATTCTTAAATACTTTAATGTTTTTTTTTTTTTTTTTTTTTATAACTTAGACAGCCTTGCTGATTACCTTTATTAAGATTCTTGTATACAAGTTGTACAAAGTTGGTTTAAATTTTGGTTTGACATTTCCCAGCTACTTCTGTAAATGCTTAGGAGTGGACTGCCACACAGGCCAGATGTTTATTCCTGGCTCAGAGCTATACCAAGCTAGTCAGTAAGACCCTGAAAGAAAGGTCTTACATTTCTATTTACAAAACTAAAAACTGAATCGAGTCATGTTTCCTAAATTTGAACCTTGTTCTTCACTTTTTCCTCTCTCATAACTCAATTTTGTTTATCTATATTTAAAGCCTTTCCTTCTTTTTGTATTTTCTTGCTTGGAAGATTTTGTTTTTTGTTATTTTTCTTTTTTTTAATTGCAGTTTTAATTCCTGCTAATTTTTTCTAATCAGCAACAATATTACATTGTTTTTTCTATATATTTTTAAAAAATCCATTCTATGCTGCATTTGTGAATACTTTATAAAGTTCTTAGTTTCCTTTAAAGATTATATAATATCTTGTACCAACTTTTTGGTTTTTTCTTGTATTAGACCTTTGATAATTTTGAATCTGCTTGCTAATCTTTTTTCTTTCAAAATCCCCTATAAAAGCTTTTTAAGTTCTTCTTTACTTGTCTTTCTCTGAGTTTCTTTTACAAGTACTGTATATGCCAAATCGATTGACATATTTTCTGTGTCATTCCACCCTTTTTCATGCTCACTGCATGTTGCTAGATGGCCTTGATCCTCTTTATGGTTTTTATTGCAAAGTATACAAATTGCATTTTTGTATAGATCTGGTTATCTTTGTGTCAAGATCTTGAGTACAGGTAATTTTTCATTTACACATTTAATTAGCATTGCTAATTTTCTATTTTTCTTTATACTTGTACATTTTGTTTCACTTTGACCCTTAATGCTTTGCCATAATGTTGACCAGTCATGTTCTTCTTTTTCCAAGATTAGTTCTGTTTTTTGAATTGATGATGTGAATCTCCATTCTGCTCTGACTTTAAGTTCTAGTACATTTTTGATAAATTTTCTTGTCAAGCTTTC